CGGAAGTGTCCGGTGTCCGGTGTCCGGGTCCGGGGTTACCATGGCTGAAACAGAAGAAAAGAAGGAAAGAAGATTGGAATCCAATTGCTTTCGGATCAAAGGAGTAGGTGTCCGGGACATAATTAGTAATGATAATTAGTAATGAATCTAATGATAATAATAAAATATTATTTGATAATTTCATTTTAATTTTTCAACCAGGTTGAACCAAGTGCAAAAAATTTCGACCGTTTCTTGATTTATGTGTGACTGCGACACTGTCATCCTTGCAAAGGGCCATGCTAAACTTCTCTACATCACTCCATTTTTAAAGACTGGTTGTTAAATTGGTGAAACGAGTAAACCACTGCCGCCCTTGAGGCTTGAACACGTTGAACCCTAGAATGTCAAACGCCTTCTTAGCCTGCCCTTCAGCCTTCCAAATTGTTGCACATATTTCTTGGCGTCGGGCCTAGGAGGAGCTGCAGGCTTAGGTGCTCAGTCGACCACCGTCTTAGCCGCAAAAAAAACGTACGCACGTTGTATACGTACAGAACGTACGGGGTAAGTTGCATTCAATTGCAACGTACGTACGTACATTATATACGTAACTTTTCAGGACCCCAGTACCAATACTCGTTTTCATTTTCTTCTCGGATTGTCTCGGCGGTAAAAAGATTGTTTCTATTCTCTTTGTCTTTTCGGCAGTATCCTGAGTTGTTTGCCTTGCAATGTTGTACGCCCTTTTTTTCCGGATCCCTGTACTTACTAAAGGCCTCTATTTGTTGTAATTGCCAATTGGTGTGGGTAAGGCATAAGGGGATCTGATTACTGATTGCATGCGTTATCTGATTGTGGTTGCGTCAATGTTGTTGTTGATGTTTGTTACTGTGTTCAGCTGGCACTTGCAAATCCAAACCACACGGTCCTGGGAAAGCTGAACCAGAGCAAATTCATTGAAAAGCTGGGCACAGAATGGCTGTTTGTGAGTGCATCTGAGGCAGAGAGGACGGTTTCACGGCTTAGAAAAGCACCATCTGCTCCAAAAGCCCCTACTTCCGTAAGAAAGGTTTCTAATACTGCATGAGAAGAACAAGCACGGCAATGACTGAGAGTGAGTACTTCTCATCCTGTGCCGTCCTGTTGTGAAATGGCAGATTGCCGGATACCTAAAACAACTGGAAAATATCCAGGTCAAGAGCCGAAATCTTGTCACTTCTGTCTCAACCCTGTGTCTGAATGCTACTGGCAAAATCCTGCCACGTTGGAGCTGAGAGGACACAGTGCTCTTGGGATTTTGTAGAGCTCTCAGTAAAGCCGCGGGTGATAAAAAGGTGGGGTAAATGTACTAAATGATGAATTAAGGTAGGAATTAGTATGGTCTTAATTTGGGCTTCAAACTACGATGCTGCCCAGCTGATCGTAGTGGTACAGTACAGTGTGAGTATCGGACGTACTTTGGTTTATATTCCGTTGGTTCAAAACGGAGTGCATCTGAACTGAGAAAGACAGGATAGAACAGGTAAGTTCTCGGGAACCATCTGGAACATCGCGTACATAGATCCCCAACACATCATGATGAGTAACCAACTGACGGGGTTCTCCAGGCAGGACTGAAGGGTGGTTTCCAGGCCATCTTCAATGCTACATATGAAGTACTATAAACTACTATAAAGTCGAATTTAGAACCTTCCGGAGGGGCTTTTATTTACAGGACGGGCAGACGTGGCTAGGTAGGGGTGTCCGCATTAATTTTGTCTCCTTTTGTTTTTCTTTATGTGGTTCCGTAATTGTCGTCCCATGTCTTTGAGCAGTAAGAACTGGTGTTTCCAGGAAAAAAATTCTTCAAGACAATTTCGAATAGGTCTTGGTATCGGCCTAAGTGTGTTTGAATCTGGATCGCGTGCACTGACAATGACAGAAAAAACAATTTGCACAGCCTCAAAAAGTATATAGATTGAACGCTACCATGCTTTTGGAATACGGAGAAGTATATGTTAGTCTGCCACGGAAGATGCGACGCATGCCGCCTCGGAGACAACACAAGTAGTAGTGAAGTTGTGGAGTAGGCGAACATCGAGTATAACTATTAGGCGGCATGTTTGTGAGCCATCTCTCTGAACAGAAGGAAAGTCCGTCCACGAGGATTGGAGTTTGCTTTCAAGTTTATGTTGTCCTCACTCCGTTGTGTCTCCACGCTCACACCGCTTTCAGCGACTCTTTGGAACGAGGATTGGAGTTTGCTTTCAAGTTTATGTTGTCGTCACTCCGTTGTGTCTCCACGCTCACATCCATAGTGTCGTAGTTGGCCTCTCTCTCTCTCTCTCTCTCTCTCTCTCTCTCTCTCTCTCTCTCTCTCTCTCTCTCTCTCTCTCTC